GCAGTGGTAGCAGCCCGGTCCTACTGCAGCATGCTCTTGATGGTCTTGTTGGTCGAGTCGTCATTCAGATGCTTGGTTGTGTACCTGAGAAAAGAAAAAAGAAAAAAGCCCCTCGTTACTGTCTAGTACGAAAAACCAAGGAAAGCTAAAAGGAGCCCCTGGAGCTGATCTATTATTTAAGAGCTATTAGTGGTGCCTCAATAAGTGGGAGTATTTTTTTAAGGTTATCTTTGTATTAATGTGATGGAAGCCCCCCGTCCTTAAAGACATTATCGTGCACGCGCCAGAAAATGCTCAAGAATCCTCAATACTGCTGGATTTAATCATTTGGAAATTTGTCTGAACTTAGAAATACGAGGGAGCTGGTGCAGAAGAGCTGCTGTGTGTGTGTGTGTGTGTGTGTGTAAGTGTGTGTGTGTGCTGCCGTGCATGTGTGATGACAGAGTTTCTCAGTTTCTGTTGTTTTTTGCTGTTGTTTTAACTGACAGTTAAAGAAACAGACGGCCGGACAGTCGGTAAAGAGGCCCCCAAACTGCCAGCAGACCCAAAATATCTCAGTCTGAAGGCAGTTTTTCCTTTATTCAGAGCACAGAGAGGGCTGTTCTGCTGACCTGAATAATGAGGCTCAGCACCTGAACACAACATCTCATTAGATTCTGATTATTCTAAACTCTTTTGATGATGTAACTACAGAACCATCGATGAGAAAATGAAAAAAAGATTAATTAAAACCCATTTCTTGATACTTTCACTTTTGAGGACAGCTCTTTTTCTCTATGCTTCTATGTTTTGCCACCTGGGGCCACCTCAGAGTTGTGATTACAGCTGGAAAAGGGGCTTAATGTGGCTGGAGGGCGTTCGCCTGCCTCCGGCCCGGGGCAGCCACGGATACCGTCGCCACGGATACCGCCGCCGCCTCGCCGCTTTGCCCGAGAGCGGCGTTTCTGTGAGCGAAGGCGAGCCCACCTGAGAGCGTTGAGGAGGCCGTCTACGCTGTTGGGCGGCTGGTCTTTGAGGACTTTGATGCAGCCTTTCATCTGTGAGCAGACACAAAAGCGTCAGCTTGGGAGGACACGGCGGCGCCGGGGCGTTGCCACGGCAACGGCGACACGGCAACTCACGTCGATTTTGGAGGACTTGGCGAACGCTCCGACGGGATGCACGTAGTCGTACAGGATGATGACCCCGACCATCACCCGGAGGCAGAAGGACACCGTCTCCTCGCTGGAGAAACGGCTGCGGTACTCCCTGAGGAGACATGGGGGGGGGGGGT